CTCTAATTGCGGCGTTCGCATGTAACCACGCCACACACGTTGACACACACCTTACACGGCTCGTGGCTCATAAGAAGCTCCACCGAAGGCCCCAGTGGCGGCGTTCACATGCGTCGGAGCTGCACATTTCGGCACACGCCTCAAAGCCCCAGAGGGAACTCCACCGAAGGCTCCTGCTTCAGGGATCGCCTGAGACCCCCACATTTCGGCACACCCCTCACACGTTTCGTGGCCGCGCAAGAATGCATCTGCCTTGCTGCACTGTTACTTGCATGTGATTGAATATTTCGCCCAAATACTTGTTGGACGCCCGAAATGGGTACGGAAAAATTGGCACGACGCCCAACAACATCTGCTGTCCCAAACCGACAGCGGCCGACTGCCGACGGCGAGTCATGTAAAGACTGAACACCGAACCCATTCTTCCCGTACCCGTTCTGATCGTACGTTATTTGGCCGTTTTCGGCTTCTGGGGGCCCTCGCCGAGCCCCAGGACCGTCAACAATAGGGAAACGAAGAATCACATTAACATAAAAACTCGGAGGTCCGCGCGGATTTCTCGGATCGGCGCTGGACCCCCCTCACTGGCGCGCGAATCGCGCCAGGGGCGGCGCCAGAGGCGCCGCAGAGGGGTCCAGCGCGGATCCGAGAAATCCGCGCGGACCTCCGAGTTATTATATTCATGTCATTCTTCGTTTCCCTGAGTTTCGGCTTCCGTGGGCCCTCGCCGAGCCCCGGGACCGTCAACAAAGACGATGGCTCGGGATTGAAAAGCGGCCCTGGGGAATGGGCTGTGCTCCTCTTCCACCAGCCTTGCGGGCGCCTCGCAAGCGCCCTGTGTGCCACCTGCACCGCACACAGCTTGTACCATTCCGCACGGCTTCCAGCATCGCAGCAGCATCGCACAGCTTGCACGGCGCAGCTTCTACCACGAACAGGCTCAGGAACCTGGAAAAAGCATCTGCACCAAGGATGCTTGCGCGCCGTTGATAAGCTCAATGTCGGCGTCGGTGTTCTTCCTCCCTCCTCCTCCTCCTCCTCCTCCTCATCCTTTTCCTCCTCCTCCTCCTGATCAGCATCAGCATCAGCATCAGCATCAGCATCAGCATCAGCATCAGCATCCGCATCAGCATCAGCATCAGCATCAGCATCAGCATCATCATCATCATCATCATCATCATCATCATCATCATCATCATCATCATCATCATCATCATCATCATCATCATCATTCTGCTCCTGATTCTCATCCGTTGAACAGTAAGACGCGTGCGCACTCGTCTAAAAAGATGTGAAAGCACGGCGTTCGCGGCCATCCGTACCTCGTGCTGGCTCAGAGCTTGCGTACGCTGTCGTCGGTTGGCCTCGTTCGTGCCACCCCTAACCGCTTCTCTGAGCGTTTGAGCCTCTTTGCAATGCAAGTCTTTCCTCTCAGCCAGCGGCTGGACTACAGGTTATCGAATCATCGCACTGGTGAGCCGTTTCCATTTTCCGCCTCCACATCTTCACCCTGGTCCTCCCTCCATTTCTCCTTCTCCTCCTCCTCCTCCTTCTCCTTCTCCTCCTCCTACTTCCTCCATCTCGTTCCTCGCCTTCTCATTCCTCCCTCCTCCTTCCTACTATCGGTGACACGCTAATTGACACGGGTCGGGGAGAGTACCACCCGAAAAAGGGCGCCTGTGCCGCCTGTTTTGGCGACGGAACGCGTCGGTTTCGCATGGAAACGGGACCAGTCGCTGATCAACGAGCCTCAATCCATGCTTGCGGTCCCTCCCGCCCCTGCAGGCCTCTCTCAAACCGGGTCCGAGAAGATGGGGCTGGACGATCCATTATGCATGGGCGACGTCGGCGATGCATCGGCAGCGTTGGGGTGGAGAATATAGGGCTCCATACATCCAGCAGCATCGCCCAGGCATCGGCGATGTGGCGCGATCCCGAGACGCCACCTGGCAGACCTAGACCTGGAGCCAGGGCCCCCTGAGATCCGACGCTGCGGACAAAACACAACATCGCGAAAAATCGCAACCAGAGCCGTAAACCCCATCTTTCTGCAGCAGTTTTCGAGCCGGGTCGATCTGTGATGGTCCTCGGATCCACCACTGGGCGAGAAAACGCCCGGTGTGAACAAAAACTCTCCCTCAGTCCATCCATCCGCCCTCTTGCCCTCGTCTCCTCCCTCCCTCCCACGTCACCCCATGGGCAGGAGTTCTCTCTCGCCTAGAGATGGGAAAGCGGCCGAAGATGCTCAGCAAGCCTGAGAAAACCCAAAAGGCCACGTATTAGAGAAACGGAAAATGGCATAAACATAATAACTCGGAGGTCCGCGCGAATTTCTCGGATCGGCGCTGGACCCCCCTCCCTATCAACCGACTGCGTCAAGCCGCTGGCTCTCCTTCTCTCACCCCGCCCTCCCCCATGGCCGAGCGCACGCCTGGCTGCTGTACTTTGCGCAGCGGGCCCTGAACTTGGCCGTGTCGCAGCCCCAGGCACCGACGTCGTCCTGCCGCGGGGCGGGGCCCAGGCAAGGCACCTCTGCCCGCTGGTCCGACGGCGCACACCCAAATCCCGACATAAATTCTGGCCTGGATCGGGTCGCAGAACCGGAAGCGGACCCAGGCATGCTCGCGTGAGGAACAGAACTCACGGCGGACGGTACTTGACCGTTTCGAGCATCCTGGGGCCTTCTCTGGCCCCAAGGCCGTCAGAAAACGACCTGGGATGGAAAACCGGCCCTGGGGAAAAGAAATGGACTTCCGCCGACCACGTGTTGAAACAATCAAGGCACGCCTGGGGATTGCAGCGCCGCCAGCGAATCGTCCTGGCTCCAGCTAGCCCTGGCCGATGCCGGTGAATCGAGCCACATCGAGTCGGATCGGAATCGCAGTCCCGGCCGGGAATCGAATCGCATCGAGTCAGGTCGTAGGCGGCCTTGGGCGATATTATGTTTGTTTCGGTCTGGGCGTATGCCTCGACGACTCTGGCCTCCGGGGCCTGTTGCAAATCCCAAGGGCCATCAAAAACGGACCCTGGACCAAGGACCTGTCCCCCGGGAAGAAGGGGCTGGCCTCCTCCTCCTCCTCCTCCTCCTCCTCCTCCTCCTCCTCCCCTCCGCCTCCTCCTCCGCCTCCTCCTCCGCCTCCTCCCCCTCCTCCTCCTCAAAGACAGAATGCCCCGGCGGCGAAGTACACAGCAGTACCATCTAGCACGACGTCTGCATGCGGGCAAGACTTGTGTCTACACATCCACTGCAGCTTGGTGAGATTCGGGCTCCCTCCCCCAGACACCCGAGGGGCACTGGGCACAAATAAAACTCGGGCCCCGAGGGGCTCACTTCTGATCCACATCCAGTGCGCCTCGGCCCTGCGGCGCCCCTTCCAAGAAAGCCCGAGACGCCCGCTCAAGAACTTGCGGCGAAACGACGACTGGCCTCGCCCACAACAGCGCCGAGCAAGGCGAGTTCCTGTCGAGACGATTTCTGTTTAACCTGGGGCCTCGAGCACAGGGACAGCTCCCCGAAAGGCCGAGAGAGTGGCCAAGAGAGCAGCCGACCCCGTCGTTTTGGTTCGCGAACATTGGGAGGAGGTCTGTTGGGCGCGAGCTACACGTCGGCTGGCAGAAGTAGGTGAAAGCATGAAGTAGGAAGGCGGATAACGAAGATTGGGCTCAGGCCCTCTTAGAATAACAAAAACGCAGCATGAGCAGATCGATCAGTGAAGTAGGACAGCGCTTGAAGTAGAGTGGGATCTGGGAATCCAACAACATCCACTTTCAACGACCGGCGTGACATGGGGCGATAAATGGGGAGGGGAGGGGAAGAGAGGCGCCCAGGCGCCCTCTGGGGCCGTTTTCTACGACCCCCTTCGGGGCCGCAGAGATGGCCCCTGCTCGGTAGCCTTCGCGGCCCCCCAATCGATTTCACCCATCCCCCCCCCCGAGTGCGCGCCGTCCGAGTCTGAATCGTCCCGCCGCCTTCTGAGAAACCCTTCTTGATGTGATCATCTTCCATCACCACTACCGTATGTAGGAGAGGGAGGAGGAGGAGGAGGAAGACCTACTCATGGTAGCGGTGTTGAAACATATGCCCCGTCTCCCCCGTCCTACTTATGGTAGCGGTGTTGGAACATGTGTCCATCACTTCTCCTCATCGCACCCCCCCAACTCGCACGCCGCCGCGAGCGGTCCGCCGTGGCCTAGGGGGCCCAAAGGCGTCGGGGCCTCGAGGCGTCGGGTGCCTCGATAGGGAGGAGGGGGAGAAGGAGGAGGAGGAGGAGAAGGAGGAGAAGAACGAGGAGGAGGAGGACAAGGAGGAAGAGGAGTAGGAGGAGGAGGAGGAGAAGGAGAAAAAGGAGAAGGAGGCGGGGGAGGAGGAGGAGGAGGAGGAGGAGGAGGAAAAGGAACAGGAGGAGGACGAGGAGGGAGGAAGAGGAGGAGGAGGGAGGAAAAGGATGAGGGAGAGGAGGAGGAGGAGAGGAGGAGGAGGATGAGGAGGAGGAGGAGGAGGGAAGGAGGAGGGGCGGAGAGGGAAGGATGATGATGAGGAGGAGGAAGAGGAGGACGAGGAGAAAAACGAGGAAGAGGAAAAGGAGGAAGAGGAAAGAGGAGGAGGAGGAGGAGGAGGAGGAGGAGGAGGAGGAGGAGGAGAAGCAGGAGGGAGAGAGGAGGAGGAGGAGGAGGAGGAGGAGGAGGAGAGGAAAGAGGAGGAACAGGGGAGGAGAAGGTGGAGGAGGAGGTGGAGGAGGAAGAGGAAACGGAGGAAAAAGGGGGAGAGGAGGAGGGGGGAGGGGGAGAAGGAGGAGGAGGAGGAGGAGGAGGAAAATTAGGAGGAGGATGAGGAGCAGGAGGAGGAGGAGAAGGAAGAGGATGAGAATTTGGAGAAGGGGGGAGGCAAGAGGAAAAGGAGAAGGAAGAGGAGGCGGAGGAGGAGGAGAACGACAAAGATGAAAGGAACGCGGGGAAGGAGGAGGAGGAGGAGGAGGAGGAGGAGAAGGAGGAGGCGGAGGAGGGAGGAGGAGGAGGATGAGGATCAGGGGTAGGAGGAGGAGGAGGAGGAGGAGGAGGAGGAGGAGGAGGAGGTGGAGGCGACGGAGGAGGAGGAGGATGAGGACGAGGAGGAGGACGAGGAGGGGAAGGGGGAGGAGGGGAGGGGGAGGGGGAGGAGGAGCAGGAGGAGGAGGAGGAGGAGGAGGAGGAGGAGGGGGAGGAGAGGGAGAAGGATGATGATGAGGAGGATGAGGAGGAACGAGGAGGAAGACGAGGAGAAGGCGAAGGAGGAAGAGAGGCGGAGGAGGAGGAGGATGAGGAGGAGGAGGAGGGAAGAAGAAAAGCACGACCGAGAGGAGGAGGGGGGAAGAGAGGAGAGGTGGACGAGGTAGAGGAAAAGGAAGAGGAGGAGGAGGAGGAGGAGGAGGAGGAGGAGAGGAGGAGGAAGAGGAGGAGGAGGCGGAGGAAGAGGGGAGAGGAGGAGGGGGAGGAGGATTAGCAGGTGGAGGAGGACAAGAAAGAGGAGGAGGGGGTGGAGGGGGAGAGGGAGGCGGAGGAGGAGGAGGAGGAGGAGGCGGAGGAGGCGGAAGGGGAGAGGGAGGAGGGGGCGGAAGAGGAGGGGGAGAAGGAGGAGGAGAAGGAGGGGGATAATGATGGGGAGGAGGAGAAGGAGGAGAAGGAGGAGGAGAAGGAGGAGGAGGAGGAGGAGTCCGTAGCCATTGGCTCAAGCACTGGCTTATGCCGGTCTGGATCGAGTCATCCCGTGCCAGCACACACCGCCCTACCTGGACCGCCAAAGGCTTGTCGGCGGGAAGACTTCGGCCTCTTCAATTGGCACGTTTGTGCAGTCATGGCGTATGCGTGCTGGTCCAACGGATGCGGCGGTGCGCCGGCGGCTGAAGGCTGGAAGGGCGGAGGCAAGGGCAGGACCGCCCAGTCTGCGGCCAACTGGATGTGCCAATGTGGTTGCGGCAAGAACAAAAGCGACTGAACATGGTGCAAGCACTGCGGAGTCCCCAGGGTGGGGGCGAGGTCTTCGCGCCGCAATCGGAGTGCCCGCCGAGCAGTTCCACCGTGGGTGGCGACAGGCTGTGCGCGCGACTCTTTCCGCCTGGGCTTCTTGTGCCTCATATTCCTGCTGGAAGTGTCCTGCCTGCCGCTGGGCATATGCCAGCTGGGCAGGCTCGAGTCGGAGGCGGCCGTGGCAGCGGCCCCGACCTCAGTGGCCTCAGCGAGCAGGAGTTGCAGAGCATGGAGCAGCTCAGGACCAAGATCAGCCAGATCGTCCAGTCTTGCAAGTCTGAGAGGGAGCGTAGGGCGCGCCCAAGCCAAGGGGTGCATGCCTCTGCCGGAGCCGCCCACGCACGCCTGCTCGCGCTCGAGTCGCAGCTCTCCGCGGCCACGGAGAGCCTGGAGGCGATTAACCAATCCCGCGACCAGCAGACAAAGATCTTCAGCGAGCTCGAGGAGCAGGTGGAGCAGGCATCCAATGAATACAAGTCTGCGGTGCACACGCTCCACGAGCGCACGGTGGGCCACGCTGATCCTGCTGGAGGTGCGGGGCCCAAGCTTCAGATCAAGGACATTCTCGATGGGCGCATCTCTGAGCTGCTGCTCGAAGATGAGAGCATCTTCGGCCGGGGGGAGGTTGCTGGGCCTTCGAGCGGGGACAGGCACCAGTCGGCTGAGCGCAAAAGGATCCTCGCAGAGGAGCTCAAATCGGTCGCCCAGAACCTTTTCGGCGAGGCACGGCAGAAGGCTGAGGTCCTGGTCAAGCAGCACCAGGGACATCAACCGCATGTCCAAGAAGCGCAAGCCCGAGATGCAGGAGGCTGGTGATGACACTGCAATGGCGTCGGAGGCAACAGAAGCCGCAGCAACACAGGCTGCGAGCGCGACTCCTTTCACGGCTCCGTCTTCAGGCACTGAGGTGCGTACGCAGCGTGACCCCATCGCGCGTGCGCAGGCGGCGCTTGGCCCCCTGGCCCGCTTCTCCCCCCCTGCCCTGTCCCCTCCCGCTCTCCCTGCTCCCAGGCGCCGTGAGCTTGTGATGGCAAGAGCCAATGCCACCAGTTGGGGTCCTGTTTGCAATTGTTGGCGAATGAGACGCGCGCTGGCGTCCTCCTGCTCCAGGAGGTTGCCAGGGCTCCATGTCAGGTTAGAGAGGCTGCATCAAAATTGTCTGTTGGGCTGGCCGCGCAGCCATACACCATCCCTAACTACCCAGGGCGGCGGGCCGTCGGGAAGCGTCGCCGTCGGATGTCGACGTTCGTTCGGAATGAGCCTGCCGCCTGGGGTCCGCGTTCCCTGTCTGCCGAACCCCCAGCGAGTCCGCACATCCTGGGCCAATGCCTGTCCCTGGAGGGGTCCCAGCTGTTTCACTCCACCTGCCGACGGGGGGGGGGCGCGCTAGAGGTTGAAGGTTCGCACCTTCTGGCAAGGCTGCGGGAGTGGCTCCATGGATGGAAGCCGCCGTTCGTCATTGGGGAAAAACGGAACTGCACTACGCAAACCGCGCGT